GCCTTCGTTTTTTTTGTCGCCCCCCACCCAACCTCTGCCCCGAGTCGCAACCTCAAAGGCTATTAACAGCTATTTGTTACCCTATCAAACCTCACTTAACAAGTAGTGGCGACTTCACTTGGCGCGTAGGTGTGAATTACGCCCTCCCGGCCAGGGAAACCAAAATTCCAACTTCCGGCTGGCGACACGGCCTGGCGATTTTCCGTTACTCGCCTGTTTCCGTTCAACTCAGTTTGAATGTCTAACGGACGGGACCGACATGGAAGACAGAGTCAAGCGTGTTTTCAAAGACGTCTGGGGGTTTGAGGTCCGTCCAGACCAGCTGAAAGCCGTTTTGGCGGCCTTAGAGGGCAAGGATGTTTTCGTTGGGATGGCGGCAGGGAAGGGGAAGTCCCTCTGTTTTCAGAGCATCCCCCTTTGCCTAACAGAACTTGTTGTGGTTGTTTCGCCGCTGCGTGCCCTCGTCAGGGTGCCTCGTTCATTCACCATACAGGACGGGCTCACAAAATTCACATGGCAAATCATAAACTTTCCGGAATAAGAAAAATATTCGCGGGAGTTTGTCCTGGTAAACAAGTATGGCGCGAACAGAAAGATAGAATGCACCGCATCCAAACATAAAGGTAAGAAAGAAATAATGACCAGAAACACTTAAAATCTATGAATATACGTAACGGTAAAATAGAATATTTTAATATACTTTGAAGAACAAATTCATATTTTATTGTGTTGATTTTGAACCTCTATATAATAATTATAAACGTAAACATGTTTACTCTGCTACGTTGTGATGCTGTTCGGTCAGATGGAGACATGCTAATGAGATATGCGTGGTTGACTGGATTCGTCCCGCAGCGCGCTGGACACCCTTGTAAAACTATTTCCGCTCCCAGCTCACAGATTGCGGAAAATAGGGGCACGGGGAGGGACTTCAACACATTTCTCAAAGAACTACTCCTCCCCTTGTCCTTTGCGGTTGCGACTCGGGGCAGAGGTTGGGTGGGGGGCGACAAAAAAAAACGAGGCATATATAAAACGGTGACGATCTTCCCCCACCAACCTCTGCTTGGAGAGTAACAAATTTGGTTCATGGTGTTTGATGATTAATTCATTATCGTGGGAATAGTCATTAAACAGGAGGAGTATCTGTTGAGAGCTGAGTAACCTAAGCTTGGCCAGAAAACTGAGCGCTCAAGGATATTCAGTCACCCTGCGATCTACAATGTATTCATTCACCTATTTGCTAAAGTTGCCAAAGTCACCCTTAACTTAGCGTTTTTCAACTGTGTGACATTATTGAATGTGCTATCTTATTACGAAATGTCCTGAGACCCTGATAAATTTAGTCACCTAGAATTACCTGTTTGCCTTGGCAGATATTAATTCCTGGTACAAGATACGGCTATAGCTATATCTATAGCTTCTAC